AAGCTTTATTTTTAACCACAAAGAGACTGATTGCAGATGTCAGGGTAATCTCGTCTTGTCACACTAAAAGTTGGAGTTGATCTTGAGAATATCTGGTTTTCATGGCTGGTCGTTTACCCAACCAGGAATCTAAACGGTGCATCTTAATGTGCACAGCAACATACAGGCCGCAGCCAAATCTAAAAGACAGACGGACACGTTTTATTTTTATTTATTGCTTTTAATTACAGAAAAAAACCAGGAACAATTTGCATAAAATCCAAATTCCACTCTAGAAATATTTGACCTTTCTGGTGTGTAGATATCAAAGAGTACAGTAAACATTGATGAACAGTACAGCATTTTTCTAACCATTCAAAGGTCAATAAAATGAAACTTGGGTTTATTTGGTGTCCTCGGTATATACACACACATGAATCCCCTCTTCTTCATCCACATCTTCTCACTGCTTGTGATCCAGAGCAGTGGGATCGTCAAGTCTTGAATGAAAAGGAAGAACTTCAAAGGGAAACACGAATAAAGCCCATCTACAGTTGTTTGTTTTTGTGCATCTCTTTAGCAGTTTTACATGAAATATCGTGTCGTTTCCACCACTTGCTTCTCTTGTCACCCAATTTAAAACATCTGGGGGAGGGGGGACCCAAACATGTATGCATAGATCAACTAATGCACTGACAGCAGGCTGAGCGATAATGGAGGACAGACGCGGCACAAAAACAAGCACCATATCCACAAAGCTCTGAAAACAACCAATGAACAGCCTTAGTGCATCAAATGGCGACCAGAAACTTCATTAATAAATAAAACAATCCTACATTTGTGTTAGCGACGAGTGTTCTCGAACTGATCTCATTTATTTTGTACTGACAACTTAATTGCTTAAATAAATGTTACATATGGAAAAGAGGTGGGAATTATTTTTGTCAAACATTTAAAATTCTAATATTAAAATGTGTCAAAGCTCATCAACTGCTTTCAACTATAGCCAGCTAGCTGCTTGGAGCAAGAACAGCAATAGTGCTGAAGACATTCAACAAATGTGGGAACAGCCTACTCTGATTATTTATAACCAAGTTTGTTTTACAAGGCAACTCGTGCTGCTCGCGCCGAGGCAGTTAAGCTGCCAAGCTTCTGAATGGCTGCTCAGAAGGCTTCAGCTAATGTTAGCTAAACAGAAAACTAGATTATAACCTTATCTAAGTCGTTAGCGCTCCGGAGGAATATTACACTAGCAGCTAGACTCAGCATTAGTTACTCTACGCTGTGCTGACTAATGTGGGCAGCAGTTTGCTTGCAGGGACAGTAAAGACTGATGTGAAAAGTGAAGCCAGTGCCTTAAACGCGCAGTATTTTCAGTGGCCATCAGGGGGCGACCACTACGGTTATCGAGTTGTGACGTGTGACAGATTCTCCTCACCTGCCAGTTCGAGGCCCGGTAACAAACATCGCTAACCAGTGGGTGATATCACAGTGGGTGGGCCCATTGTGTACACCGTCTATGTCACAGGGTAAGTTGTAGTTATCAGCTAAAACATAAAGGAACAGCGACAAATTCCATTATGAACTAAAAAAACAGAGATTAGAAAAATCTTAGATCCTCCTTAAAAACTCTTAACATTGAGTTATGAATTAAGCCACCTTTAATTACACTTATATTCTACATGATCAACAATTAATTGATGTACTCTCAACCACTTTGGGGCTCCATATTCACACCTTGTCTTCTTTAATGTGTCACAAAAACCTCAGGAGAATATTTATCGCTTTAAATCTGCTGTTCTGCTTTTCCACATCAAAATAACTCTAAAGTCCACCTTAAAATATTCAGAAATCAAAACTATAGATCTTTTCAATTGATTCAGTTGAATCCAGAAAGCGTCAGGTGTCGTCTGTGACAGCGTTGAGTTCAGTCTGT